TCATTTCTTATCAGATCAGAATGCTTGAAACGGTATGTATGCAGAGTTCGATTGCGTGCTGTGTGTTGACCATAGAGGTTCACCTTCTTCTCCCTCCCTCAAAATAAGTCTAATCCCTGTCTACCTTAAATTTTACCACTAACCTTGTATGCACTACGAGTGTGACAATGATCAGTGAAGTTTGCCTCACTGTATTTCGCTGTACGATGATGATGATGAATAGCTTAGAATGCTTGAAAAATCGTCACAAATCTGATTCGTCTGTGTTAACAATCCTTAGCGATTTCCTCCTTTGTACCGATTTCGCGGTTCCCGGATGTGAACACAACTAAGCCTTTGATATTTTTTCATCAGTCTTCCTCTTGCCGTCGTACATATGTTGTTGTTCCATTATTCATGCTGAGCTTTTATTCCGGTCCCCAAATCGCGATTGATGGTTTTCTACGCGATTTACTCGATTCGGCCTTCTGACCAAATATATTTTTCAACGAAATCAATCGTCTGTTTCGCATATAATAAATGGTTATTTTTTGCAAACACGTCTGAGTTCAAACTGTGTGCCAAACAATACAATACAGTGATCTTTATTCAAAGAAAACAGCTTCATGGTTTGCTCGTTGGTGCAATAGTGCCAGGTGAATTTTCTTGGGAAATTCACAACCGGAGCCTTCGGTTCACCAAAGCCTGATCCGCAAAGCAGCAGGGCGGCGGTGTGTGAAAATCGCAGTTTATTGGGGACCGGTATCCAGTTCATCGGATCATACGCCTTTCGGACGGGGTCAAACATCCAAGGTGCCCAGTCGAACCGGTGACCAGGAACGGGTGGGTGGGTATATTTCGTACGCCTCTTGTTTGATTGGGGATCAGGGTTTTAGTCAACTTCCCTATATGGACTACCAGTGGTTCACCAACCCAGATATTGATTGACCTTTCGTCCTGTCATTTTGGTGGGAAAATATCTCCACCATCTAATCAAAGCACACTATTCCAATCACTGTTTCATCTTTAACACTGTGCAACACCTGTCTTAAACCGCATTGAGTAATCGGCTATTAGTTATTCTTCCTTTGACCGATACATTTTTACGATGATTGATATAATGACTCTACTAGATTACTCATCAATTATTTACAATACACACATCTGGTTGTTTCTTACCCATCAGTTCGACTCGCGTTCTACTTTCTGAATGTTTCGCTTTGCATTCTTGTGATGCCTGTCTTGCACTTTTCTTTGCCCTCATCCCATTCATTGACCACCTTCAATTCGTTCATCTTACTCACCGTAGAAAGACTTTTGAGTGCGGATTCCCCCGAACGACGTATTGTCGGCCCAATGGCAGCTGCATTCCACGCTCAGGCAGAAGTCGAACTCAGTCTAATGGAACAACGACACCAGACAATTGTCGATCCGGCAACCAATGGAGTTTACCTAAATGGTCATCCCTCTCCGCACTCCCCACATTCCCAGGGTGTTCCGCTACAGCGGCACAATTCCCAAACTGGCGGCTTCCCTGTCCCACCTACCTGTACTTCAAACGTAAGATTTGATTTTTACTTTGTTCGGACATGTCGTTATGTCGTGTGTTCTGTGCTTGTGTACTACACAGGTTGGCCGATCGTAGACACTGGAATAGAATACAAGTAGGTATGGTACGATCGATCCCTACTAACAGTCATAGAAAACGCCTAGACTGGCTTGTATGATCAAGGGGTTGGGTCGCGATATTTAATGCTATATAGTTGGTAATCTTGAAACTAAATGAAACAGAGTTCAAAGAATGCGTGAAGAAGCCGACTGGAAAAGTGTTCAAAACGGATCACAGGTTCTTTGGGACGCTTTCGCATAGGGTAATCCGAGTCGGATACTATGTCGTATCTAGTTTCTGTTGTCTACAGTTACTTGATTCGTAATTATTCGGGGTTGAGCTCACTTTTTGTCAACAAGGTAATTTTGAGGGGTTCTCGGTTGCGTATCGTTTTACATGGTAAGTTGGTGAAGGGCTATGACATTTTCCTGTCGGAATAATTGGTTTGTGAGAGTAATGAAGGATTTGATTTAATTCCAAAGAGGGAATTCGTTGTGTATAAAACCATTGAAGCGTGAATTGAAATCATAGGAAGCACTCACTGTACAGCTGTTTCGACCTGGCTAGGTCTCATCAGCAGTGTTAATCCATCGACCCCTACTGGGGATCGAACCCAGGACTTCATAGGTAGAACGCAAGCAAGCTACCCACTCGGCCGCCAGGCAGCTGATCGGACCGTTTTTCATTTACACGATATGGCACAACTCATCTGTTGGGATGAATATCATTGCTATTCGTCCCAAGATAAGCCCGGCTGCATATTTGCTAATTCTGCGAGAAAAAAATCGAACAAATTTACAACACATTTGACCCTGATTAGGGTCATCTCGGATCAATAATAGTCTCGCGGATAGTAGTCGATAATATTGTGTCGTACGGCAATATTTACTCAGTCCGTCCGTCTGATCCGTTGCCTATGACCGACTGAACTTTGCTCAATGTGTAACTGATTGGTACAATCTTTTTCTTGCATCGATCGATGTTATTTTGAGTCACACACATATAAGCGCCAGAGTATAACTTGTAAATTGACTTGTGTGCAAGGCTATTCCAAACCCGTGCTGCTGAAGCCGTGTCTTCTCTCTTGTGTTTTGGGAGGCCTCAGAGATCGATAGCCGACCGCGCGTCCTGTGTTTCGCTCACGGACTTGGTGCTAGTCCACCGTTCTCGTGTTCCCGTGTGCTACAAGTGTTACCGTGCTATATCGTGTGTTGTTTGCACGTGTGGTGTTCCCCTGTGATATAGTGTTGTGCGACGTAACAGTAGACGACGGATATAAGCGGCGTAATACATAAACAGGCAGAGACCGACAAAATGCGTAAAAACCAAGCTTACCGGGATTTCCACAAGGACATGGGCCAACAGATAACCACTGGGCAAGGGGCTGGACAATCGCTGAACGATGGCACTGTCCTGATGCGCATGAATGACGGAAATTTGAGCGGTTTGTCCCCAAAGTTGCATGTTCAATTGACTGAACCGGAGAATAAGGCAGAAACACATACAGATAGCAGATAAAACGAAGCCTGACACCGTCCGGTGATCTCAAAGCATGGAAGCACGATGATAATGCGAACAGGACAAGAGATTAAAAAACCGGCGGTCATCATGCTCATTGTACAGTGTAATACAGTGAAGCGAACTTCACTGATCGCTGCCAAACTCATATGGCATAAAAGGTAAGTGATAATGTGCAAGGACAGGACTTGGAAATATTCTTAGGGATGGGGAAAAAAGTAAACCCCTATGGTCAACACAGAGTAAACAGTTCAGCTGTGCATACATACTACTTCAAGCATTCTGATCTGATACGAAGTGACAGGATGGTCGTCATTGCTGTCGGTTCGCGCACATGACCTTCAGTGTCTCCAACCATGCGGTTACGGAGTCTTTTGGACCCCAACCCGGAAGCCGAGAGATACCTACTCTACCTAATGGCTCTGTGCATTTCTCCATGCCTTGTTTTCACGTCTTCTGCTGGCCTCCACGTGGCTTTCTCCAGTCTGTAACAGCCACTGCGAACAAGGCGCGCTGCGTTTGGTGACCGTCGGACATACGCAACACGCAACACGCGTCCTAACCAACGAAGCCTATTGAGCTGGATTCGATGCGATAGCGAGTTTTTGTTTGATGTATTCCTAAACACCCGAGGAATTACTTCTAAGTTACTAATCCGCTCACTCCATCCGACGCGTGTCTGGCGCGTACAATGGACTCTTTGGGGATTGATGTCTGTTGCGTATTGGAGACGTGAATCCAGGATCCTAGTACTATAACCCACTCAAGTGCACTGAGGTTGTTATCGAGGTTCTTCCTCCGCGCGTCAAGTGATGACGAAGCCCGTTCAGTAGGCCAGCGTGGCGTGTGCATTGTACTCAATAATAGAGCCGAAGCTGCACTACTCGATTGGATGCCCGTCAACAGTCGTTAATTTAACATGCGGCTCCAAGGGCCCATCAGCGTCCGGAAGGGAAGCACCATCAAAAGGAGCCTGTTCATCATTTCAGCGTATGCTCCTACGAACTGCAGTTTTGACGCCCAAAAGGACAACTTTTATGAATAACTCACCGAACTCATTCGGTTGGATCGAAGCTCCGATATAGTTGTTCCCGCAGGTGATTTTAACACTCAGGTCGGAAAACTGAGCGCATCGGAAGCTTGCGTAGGCGGTCATTGTGTTCTGCCCTGCCAGCGAACAGATAATGGCGATCGACTTCTTTAGTTCTGCGCAGATCATCATCTGTTCCTATCCAACACCAACTTCCATCACAGCTCTCAACGGACAGCAACGTGGCGCTCAAATTCAACTGACACGCTAACTCAAATCGACCGCATGGCAGTAAGCTACCGTTGGCGTGGCTCAGTACAAAACTGCAGGCCCTATTGGACCACCTGCGTTGAATCTAATCATGCATTAGTTTTGATGCAGTTCACTCTCCAACTCACTGGTCACAAAAAAACCAACAAACACGGCTAGCAGATCATTTATCTGACCCAGCCGTTCGTGCCCGTTTTGAATCAGAACTAGGGTAAGAGCTAAACACTCGGCGGGGTGGTAGTGTAGATGAACAATGGGATCAGATTAGACGAGCAATGCACTCCGCTGCGAGAGTTGCTTGTGGGTCTGAAGCGGTGGTCCGCCCGAGGCATTGGATATCTACTGACAGACATGGGATGAAGAGTACCTCAACAGCATTGCGTTAAAAGTGCCACAGATTTACTCCAAGAGAAATAAGCTAAGAAGCATTCAAAAGTAATCTGTTTCATTCCTTACAGCTACCAACTTGGTATTTTCATGCACTGGTTTTATGCTGGCCGTCTTGCAGCTATACATTAAGCTGACCATTAAAAAAGAGATCACAAACCGAGACCACCCGTTTGGAAAACTCTCACGGCTAACCAATTATGTCTTTTTGTGCAGAAAACCTCATTGGATCGAGTAGAATAATGATAGAACAAGAGCGAAAACCTACCTGATATCGCGAGACACAGTCCGTTCTAGTATCAGGCGCATGTTAAGGCGCACGGGGTTCGGGCCTGCACTTGAGTCCATCAGTTGTGCTTCACCTTCCCACAGCACAGAACGTGCACACAGACTGGGCTCCAACGGTGAGAGTTGCTGTTGTTGTTGCTGCGAGGGATGTTGCTGCTGTTGTTGTTGTTGTTGCTGTTGCTGCTGCTGCTGTTGACGTCGTACCTGAGCCGGAGTCGCATTCATATGCGATTGACCAACATCCATCCTAAAATTGAAAAAGAACTTACAACATTGGTCCCTTCAGGGAGATAGAAAAGTATATGATTACAAGTTCGGATGACCGGTTACATTTAGGTTGCTACGTTCGCGAATCTTGTGCAACGGTGGAAAATAACACGATTACCGTAAAAAAGAGCAGGGATGCAAGAGGTATAGGCCATTCTCATTCTTTGAACCACTCCCACACTTTTAGGGGTTGACATCAGCGAATACGCGTGAACTTGTCCTACAATGATCGAAACAGACAAGCAATAGAGTATCATTTCAGCTGTCTTTCAGACGAGCAGCAAAAGCCGAAGCCGCTTCTTCGATGGAACTGTGAGTCAAGCAGTAGTTGGCATACATTAGGCTATTATTCAAACGCCTGCAGTCAGTAGGTGCTTTGTTACATCACTTCTCTTGTTTGTCTTCAGTAATTATTGTCTACCTGCACAAGGAACAAGCATTTCTCTGGTTTCACATTATGCTACATCTCAGTAGAAAAGAGAATAAACCCATAACTGAGTAACGAAGTCACATGATTTCCCGTTTCTTTCTTTGTTTGGGGACCACGGGATCATTGTAATCAATAGTTAGAGACAATGAGCGATATGACCGAGTGTCGTAAACAGTGGCGAGCGTGCATCTTCTCAACCTACTGAAATTCTTCATTTTCTCTTCGACTCCAAGTTCAACTTTCTTGTCTTTATACGACTGCTCTAATCAAATGGGCAGCCAACGAGCAGCAACCAAAACCGCCGCACGAAAGTGCATGATCAATGATTGTACAAACAGAAACTGAAAACTTGCCTGTTTTTTCGTACCAGCTTTGAGCTGTTAGTTTTTGGTTGCCCAACTCAACTCGCTTTCGGTCAACTGGTTAGGAAACGAAATTTTGAGAGTATTAACAAAACAAAGGTGTCAAGCTCGAGAAAAAAATAGATGCCTCTCTAAAGTGAGCAGATGCACCAGCAAGAATGTTTACAACACTCAACTCAATCACCAATTCGTCTGATTTCCAGGACCCAGTTTTAATGTCGATTCACTAGTCGCTTCATTACACAAACTTAGTTATGCCCTAGTGCTGATGATGGTGAAAGACAGATTTATAAGTAATCCATAGCAGCCCGTCGGAGAGACATTAGCTTTGGTTTAGCAAAGAAACGCCAAGTTCAAGCTACCGGACAACACACTGAAGGTACTTGTACAACTATCTATTCGAAACAGGAAATATGAGGCACATGTAATTCATCTTCACTTATCAACGAGCTTTCGTGAGTTGGGTGATCACAATTTACCATGAAACATACCGTCGAAGATTTCCATCTGGCACCGATTCGCGATATGCCGGTCCGTTCATGGCAAACCCGAGATTTGCTGATCGACCGGTGGTGGTGTTCGTGTTTGATCCCATAGAAGTAATCGATGGTTGGCCATAGGGTGAATTGATCGCCGATGTCACCGGTCCGGGTACAACACCGGGGCCTGATCCCCGATAATTTCCTGTGGTCGTCGTCGTCTCGTATCCCGAGTACGTGGAACCCGGTGACGGACGAAATACGCCAGGGGGGAGTGAGTTGTTTCCCGGAGTGTTTGGAGCAACACCGGGACCCATGTTACCCGTGGAACTGTCTTTGAACGCATACGGACCGGGCATGAGGTGACCGGTCGGATTCATGACGGAGCCCGGGGGTTGGTTTGGATATCCGGTCGGGTTGGGCATCCCAGTGCCAGCATTGCGACCGCCACTGGCACCCATAGGGTCCGGTGAATTAACAGCGTGTGTACGCATAGCCTGAGAGTATAGTGGTGACAACAAGGTGAAAAAGTTATTCTTTACCACCATAATTATGATCAGGAAACCGAATCAAAAAGCATCGATCATAGGCAAAAACAGACTATACACAATACTAATTGAGAGGTAGAAAAAGTAACAAAGAGAGACACCGATCAATGCGAGAATTCCAATACTTGTACATTTACACACCCATCTGAGGAGTTAATCTCTGTTATTACAAAAGGGACGATATCGTTATTCTTTATTAAACAGTACGGCGTGAAACGAAATAGAACAGACTAACATCCCTTCCTCGTGGACCTATATTTTGAAGAAAACAATGGGTAATCTAAACCACGGGGCTTGGAATGATGAACCACACAGGGCTCACTGTAGATAAAGTGATACTGGATAGTAAACCACGAGAGAGAAAGAACAAAAGTGAGAACATAATGTAGCCTGGACTTGATCGATAGTAAGAAGCATGAAATACACTGGATGTCCTGTGAGACATCATCATTATCCTCACCGTAAAGCTAAATACAGTGACGCTAACTGCACTGATCGCTGACAAGCTCGTAATACATACAACGCTAGTAGTCATGTGTAAGGTGGACACAGAATGAACCTATTTTGAGGGAGGGGAAAGAAAGTGAACCTCTATGGTCAACACACACGGTAGAGGAGAATCTGGCTGTGCACGCATACCGTTTCAACCAGTCTGGTCTGATAAGAAATGACAACAAGAACGCCACTACTGTCGGTTCGCTGCCATATCCTTCAGCGTCTCCAACTGACCAGTTACAGTCTTTTGGACTCCAATCTGAAAGGCGCGAGACACCTACTCTACCTATTAACTCTGTGCATTTCTTCGTGCCTCATCTCCACGTCTTCTGTTGACCTCCACGCGGTTTCCTCCAGCCCGGAGCAGCTACAATGAATAAAGCGCAATACGGCAGACGATGGCAAGGCATAGACAATACGTGTCCTAGCAAATGAAACCCACTAATCTGAACTCGAAGAACTAGAAAATTCACTCCCGATAAACTCCCAGACACAAGACGGCTTACCTCTAGATTACTGACCCGTTGGCTCCATCCCAAGAGGACCGAACTATGTAAACACCGATAACCGAAAACTTCTAATCGATGGATATCTTCTACTCGCAAATTCAAGGTCTCACAACAATAAAGCAGAGCTGAACGAATGGTAACACAATATGCACGACCTTTCAACTTCAGTAAAATGTCGCATTTACGCCAAAGGTGTTTCAATCCTTCGTACGATGCTCGAGCCTTGCAAATGCGGGCGGTTATCTCCTTTGCTGCACCGTCGTCATTGGTCACGCAACTATCTAAGCACGAAAAGCAATCCACGACAACTAATTCCCGACCGTTGAGATTCAAAGCGGGAGCGGGTGACATCACTTTGCACTTCAAAGGTGCAAAGCACATACCGCATAGGGGAAGGGCACTTGCCAGTCTATCAAGTGCGTTTCGCGCGTCCTTGAACAGACAGATGATGTCATCAGCATATTCTAAATCGCACACCTTTTGTCCAACTGCCCATTCAATACCTACAGTTTACAGACTATTTATTGCATCTTCCGGTATATTGTCTGCTACTAAGTTGAACAGGAATGGCGAAATAAGACGCCCTTGATGAACGCCGCTGCTGATGGTTGTTGTAAACCCTGACTCAGCCAGAAGTACGAGAGGCTTTAGTTGCTAGTTCTGAAAGACATTGGCACCAGATGCGACAATTAAAACATAAAGGACATTATGAGCTTTTGTGCATCATACTCATTTCTATCGTTAACAGTTTCACCAACGAATACGAGCAGACAAACGAAATTTCTTATCCCAAGAAATGTTCTCAGGGCGAGCGATCTCCACAAGAGCCTCTATTGCGAAGTCCTACTCGATGACTTCATAGATAGTTAGTTCAGTTCAGTTCGGTTTTTACAACCATTAACAATGCACTTTTGTGCGCCGGTGCTGGATGCTGTCCTTTGGTGCCCCATTTGGATGAAAGAGCAGAATGAAGGTTGCATTGTTGAAAGCAAATTCAAGCAAAAGATGGAGAATTCATTTAGAATGGTCTTAGAGGAATAATGAGTGCATGCACGAGCGCCACTGTTTGCGACACCCAGTCATATCACTCAGTGTCTCTAACCCTGGGTGACCATCATCCCGAGGTCCCCGGCCATGGAGCCTAACGGGGCCTATGCGACCTAATCTCCTGATTAGAGGGTTGGGTCGCATAGGCCACGTGATGTGCTTATTGAAAGCAAAGGGATTAAAAACCAATATCCGAAACCGTCGTTCGTCCAATGTGTTACCTAGGTTATCTGGGGAAGCCGGGAACCATATTGGAAAAACTATTCAAGGGATGTATGAAGTACTTAATGGCTTACTGATCGCAGTGATCATTGGGCGACAGCGTACCAGAGACGTAACACTCGTCTGGGTGAACACCAGTCTTCCAATGAAATGAAGTTTACACGTACAGCGCCGCCACTAGTCAAGTGCTTCGGATATATA